ATTTTTTTTTGGTTTTTGAGATCGAGATTTTTTTTAGTTTTGGGACGGAGGGGGTTGAGGGGGTGGGGGTGGGGATTTGGATCTTGGTGTGGGCTTCGAGACCCCACGGGCTCGCTCAGATGACTCTGGGAGACGAACATGTGCTCGGTGAGGTTTTGTGATTTATTGCATGTGAATTTGGGTTTGGAGCAGGGTCTACTCGGTTTTCGCGAGTTTTTTAGTTGAGGTTGTTGAGTGTTGTGGATGCGGGATGGGTCTGAATATATTTTTCAAAGATTTATTTATTTATTTAATTGGCCAGAAAATGTTGGAGTCATCGATCAATGAAAATGTGCTTTCAGTGAAAAATGAAAACGGATTTTCTGTTTGATTTTTTGAGAGAAGTTGTACGATTAATTTCTGCAGTAACAAACAGTTAATCGTTCATGTAAATAGATTTTCTGTTTGATTATTTACGAGAAATTCTCATGAATTCTTCATTGATTTTTATCCACTTCTGGAACAATCAAACCACAAAAAATTCTGAACATTCATCAATAAATTTGTGTATTTTATTTTTTAGTACAAAAGTTCAAACAAATGCTATCGTCTCTAATTTTTCAAGAATCATTCTTCCCATTTTATGCATTAAAAAATCTCATTCTTATTTAAAAATTCCCAAATTTAGTTTTTATTATCCAGGTTTCATTAAAAATTATTGAAAAATTACATGACTAACAAAGATTATGAAAAAATTCAAAGATATCCGCAAAAGGATGTTTGAGGTCTACAGACACCCCAACACCATCTTCCAAATTTTCCAATTAATTTTTTTCCATAACAAAAATTGAAGCCCTCATTTTCATCTTTCTCTACAGGTTTTGATCCTCTAGTAAATCAATCAATCAATAAAAAAAACAGCGGTTCATTTATCAATTTTCCACTCTCTGAATACGAAAAAAAAATAATATCAACATGTATTTAATTTTTTGCAAAAAAGTTCAATCAAACTCATTCCCCCGACCTGTCCAATGAGAAAGAGAAAACATTTCCTGACCAAATATTTGAATTTTCAAGTACGATAATCCCCCACAATCCTCACTCCACCGATAAAAAAATTAATAATTAATGTCGTAGCAAAGATAAAAGTCATTTACCGCATACGATTGACCGATGGGGTGTCCCTTACGATCTTTGACCCGTCCTCCGGTTGAAAAATACGTTTGTTCACCAATTTAATCTCTCCATCTTGTCTTTCTATCCACTCCGTGAGTGAGTAAAAAACAGAAAAAATAAACGAGAAGAGTAAATAGCCTAGATTGTGAATTTAGAAGCCGATAAGTATATAACAGGAATACAATGTGGACTCGGTGGGAATGAAAAGGGAGAGGAGCAGAGGTGATAACACGAGGGTTATCTACTCCCTGGATGTCTGTTTGCATCTGCAACCCCAGCCTCCTATTTTTCCAACAGCTTTCTTCACTCTTCCATCAATTTTCATTCATAAACAATTCTATTGTTATCTGTAGAATTATTTTAACCTTCTCCTAAGATAACAAACTTAATTTCAACTTAAAAAATATTTGATAAGAAGTGGAAACACATTTTGTTAAGATTTTTTCAAAAGAATACTCAGCGATGATAATTGGTATTAAAAATTCTAGAGGCTCAAGAGGTGATTTTCCGCGCCTAGAACAAAAAATTTAAGGCCCGGGTGTACCATCTTTCGAATGTTATCTGGATTTTTCTTAGCTTTCGTAATCCAAAATTATCAATTGAGTGGTACATCATGTAGAAATTCCCAAAAATTATGATAGAATGATAAAAAAAATAGAAGAAATTCGGAACTTTTTCAAAGAGCGTTTTTAATTGAGATTCAGAATGAGTTGAAAAATGTGGAAATTACAAATATCTGATTCGCTGGCAAATTATCTATCAGCTGTCATTTTCCATGGTAGATAACAAAACACTAACTCCTCATGGGAAGTGACAGCTAGGTATCTCAATTTTCAAAACAGTGGTACGTAGTCATCTGCCATTTTTATGTGATAAAAGTGTGATTAAAAAATTCTCCAAAATATTACAACTTTTTTCAAAGAGCCTTTTCCGTAATAAATGTCTCTGTGCAGTGTGGAAAAAGATTTACGAAATCAGTCTTCCCCCTGCATAATATTGAGTGACAGGCCGCCATTTGTCACCGTAAATCAGATACATTTTTGAATTTCTTGTTATTCAACTTATTCTGAATATAAATTAAAAATGCTCTTTGAAAAAATTAAAAATTTCTTCTACTTTTTTTTGATTATTCATTCATAATTTTTCAAAACAAAATCTATGCGCACGCTCTCGCACGCGCTGATCTATTCATTTGTTGAAATGAAGAAATGGAATTCATTAAATTTCATTTTCTCATGAATACCTTATAAATATTGATAATGAATCAAAGAAAATTCGACTAATGATTGAAGTGAATAGCGAAGTAGAGTAAAAGAATCTATAAAGAATTTTTCATTTTCAATTAATTATCTTCAATTTTTTTAAATAATCGGTCTCCATAAAAGGACTTCTGCATGATGCAGGACTCAATTGACAATTTTAGATGACTAAAGATGAAAAAAACATCGAGATAACGTTCGAAAGATAGTATACCCGGGCCTTAATTTAAAAATTTGGAAATCATGATGGAAAGTGATTTTAGAGGCAGGAGGAATAAAATGAGGAATGAAGTATTGAATAAACGAATGTTTTTTCTGTTTCCTTAAATGTTCAATTATATTGACAATTAATTATCATAAGAAAATTATGTTGAGACATTTCGTAGAGAATTTGATCAGCTACAAGAAAGGAATTTTGACATTTCCTCCCAAAATCTCTTGTCAATCACGTATTAATTACCAATCAAAAATCACTTATTAGTGAAATTATTCTCTAATATGAGTATTATTGTACTCCTTGAGTGTCTGTTCGCGTCTGCTAACCTCTGACTTCATTCATAAACAATTCTATTGTTATCTGTAGCACCATTTTAACCTTCTCCCAAGCTAACAAACTTAATTTCAACCGCAAAAATATATGTCAAGAAAAGAAAACAATTTTTTTCTGGATACGATCATTTAAAAATGATTTTCTTCGATGAAAATTCCTATTAAGAATTCTCGAGGCTTCAGACCACATTTCCTATCCATAAAATATACATCTTAAAATGTAATAATTGTTATAAAAATTAATTTCAAGTTTAGGAGCAAGTTTACCTCCCGAAACTACTTGTTCAGGAAATATTTCCATGACTAAAAAAAATGCCATCATTTCAGTTTTGGTCTTAATTTTTGTTGAGAGAAAGTACCGGTGTCTTGCTAACTGAGGAGCAAACATATTACCCCACTAATATATTTCATTATTGCACAGTCTGGATTCAGCTTCCATGCGGGGTGAAAAGTAAATTAACATTCGAGACGCCACAGACATCTCACAAATGCTTTTCCAATCGATAAAAATAGAGTTCCCCCGGCATTTGAGTACGCACTATTTACATTGGTCGCTTCTTATTTATAAATGTTGTCGTACTCCGATGCAAGTGTGATGGCTCCATCATTCATCACTCCAAATAATTGCATCAACTGCAAAACTCAATTGTCTTATCATCTTGACGATTTTCCGTCACAAATTCTTGAAATTATGAGCAGAAAAACTGGACTTTGAGGGGAATGAACACCATTTTGGGAGAAAGCCGGAAAAATTTCTTATTCCAAACGGAACAAGTGGACAATGGCATTTTTTAAATAAATGAGTCCAGTAATTGTTGCTAATAAATTGGCAATTTGCTTCTGAATGGTTATTTTGCACATCATTTCCTTCTATCATGTATAATTCACTGTTCTTTTCATTTTATTAAATTGAATAAGATTTCTTTTTGACTAATTTTGTCAGATTTTTAACTTAGTTGAATGTTATCATCATCATTATTCTTATTATCCCTCTCTTCTATACAAACGATTGTCTTTTTTACGGTTCTATCTCTCCCCTCAGCTCTTCGATATCATGTTAAGAGAAAAGTTTTATTTATACATACTTGAATGAATTTGAAACATCACATTTGAAGAAACCATCTTCATTCAGGAAGAATTGAAGGAAAACATACACACCTCCGTAGGACACGGTTTAAAAATTGCATTTTCGAACGTTTTGGATCATAATGGGTCCATATAACACGAAAACTCCAAAACTTGAATTTGAATGATTACAATGCTTTCATTTGGAAGCAATGCAGCCCATTTTGACCCGATCATCCCCAAGATACGAGATAAAATCGAATTCCTCAAGAAAAATCATTAAAAACCATTAATTTTTTCTACCCAATCCTGAAAAAATAATTTTGTAATTAATAAAACTGATTTTCCAGATGATGCACATAAGGACGAGGGCTCCGGCACAGCCTCAACGGAGGTCCTGGAGAAAGGGGAGGTAGAGGCGACGAAAGAGTGTGAGAAAGAGAAGAGCGAAAAAGAGAAGGACAACGATGAAAAAGAGAAGGATGGAAACGATCAGGAGGTTGTCTTCATTCAGGACATGGGTTTCACAGTGAAAATAGTGAGTCCCGGTGCTGAGCCCTTCGACATTCAGGTGTCCTCCATGGAGCTCGTCCAGGAGATTCACCAACTGCTCATGGATAGAGAGGACACGTGTCACAGAACGTGTTTCTCACTTCAACTGGACGGTAACACCCTGGACAATTTTGCAGAGTTGAAGAACATCGAGGGCCTGAAGGAGGGCTCGATAATCAAGGTAGTGGAGGAGCCCTACACGATGAGGGAGGCGAGGATTCACGTGAGACATGTCAGGGATCTCCTGAAGAGTGTCGATCCGGCTGATGCCTACAACGGGGTTGAGTGCAGCAGTTTGAGTTTTTTGAATGTCGTTACCAATGGGGACATTCTGGAGAAGAAGAAGACGAGGGCTGATGCTGTTGACTGCACACCACCTGATTATATTATTCCGGGGGGCAAGGAGAGGCCTCTTTTGCCACTCCAGCCACAGGCCAAGGAACAGAAGTGTCCTCCTTGTCTTAAGGTGAGGATCAGACATCGAGAGAATCATAAATACTGTAGAATACTTACGTATCTATCCTTTATTTTTGTATCGGTGTTAATTTTGCAGTAGCCGATGGTTCAGTCGTGGGCACGTTGTTTTTTTCACGGGGTTTTTTGTGTTATGGAGAGCGTTTCCAGTGATATTTTACTTTTAATTTGGAATAAATAAAGATTGGGGTGTTGTTCTGAAGAGGATCTCCATTGAAGATCGAAACGTTGACAAGCAAAATTTGATCTTTGTTGTTTTTTACTGACAGCCGCCAGGCCAATTAATATAAATTCACAAGTATTATGATACGGTCGAAGAATATAATCACTGGAAAATCATCAGTTTTAAGGATATCCGAGTATTTTCGCTATTTTTTCTTCAGTTAAGGCCCGGGTGTGCTGTCTTTTGAATGCTATCGGGATTTTTTTTATCTTTCGTAATCCAAAATTGTCAATTGAGTGGTACATCATGTAGAAATTCCCAAAAATTATGATAGAATGATTAAAAAAATAGAAAAAATTCTGAACTTTTTCAAAGATCGTTTTTAATTGAGATTCAGAATGAGTTGAAAAAAGTGGAAATTACAAATATCTGATTCGCTGTGGCAAATTATCTATTAGCTGTCATTTTCCATGGTGGATAACAAAACACTAACTCCTCATGGGAAGTGACAGCTAGGTATCAGATACATTTTTCAATTTCTTGTTATTCAACTTATTTTGAATATAAATTAAAAATGCTCTTTGAAAAAATTAAGAATTTTTTCTACTTTTTTAAAATTATTCATTCATAATTTTTCCGAACGGAGGTTTCCGAAAGTTTAAACAATCGCAATTATTTATTTATAAACAACAAATGTTGATTTAAACAACAAATGTTAATGACGCGGAATATGCATGATTTTTTTCAATTTTTCCTCACTCAATTTAATTGACAAGTTTGATGAATAAACTGTAAAAGATACTTGGATAAGTCAATTGTTAATAGGACTCATCAATTTTAAATTATTAAATTAATCACCAATTGAATATCCTAATTCCGAATTATTTTATCAGTCAATATTGAGTTCAGAGAATTGCCGATTATTTGCTTAATCGAAAATGCCTTCTAGGAAATTGAGAAATATTTACTCAATAGTCAATTTACAATTCCATATTATCAATTATTCAATTCATAATTCATTGAAAATTTAAATAATCAGTTATTTTGTAATTTCCAAATCTCAACCCAAATATTAGGGGAGAGTGAGACAAAATCAGCGGGGCAAAATGAAACTGCCGAAAATCGACTATTTGACACAATTCACGCAAAAAAAATTGATTTCATCAACTTTTGTTTACCTTTTTTTATTATTGGCAGTACTGATGAGAATAATAATTCCCGATCCAGTAGAAAAGGTAAAGATAGATAGCGATAGGATAGAGATAGAGAGCAATAGTTTTACTGTTCGATTCTTCTCATCAAGAAAATTAATTAAAAAAACCCCGAAAAATTGGGCCGAGGAAATTCTATAAAAAATATCTCAATAGAATAAGTTCTCTAGAAAAATCGAATCATATTGACTTTTTCTACAAAATATTTTCTACTCACCATTTCAACAGAATCGCCCAAAAAGCAGTGGAAAATTCAATAGAAATCCAACAGAATTCACTGGGTTTTTCACTGAAATTTGTTCATATACCTAATTGTTGGGAACCTTCCTTCCAGGTATTAACAACCTCAGGCTGGAATCCGCCTCCAGGCCACCGCAAGCTCCACGGCGATCTCATGTACCTCCAAGTGATAACTCTCGAGGACAAGCAGTACTACCTGACCGCCTGTGCCCGAGGCTTCTTCGTCAATCAATCGACCAAAGAGACCTTCAATCCGAAGCCAGCCACCCCCTCCCATCTCTGTCACAGTCTCATCGAGCTCCTGAATCAGCTATCCCCCGCCTTCAAGCGAGGCTTCACAGCGATGCAGCGTCGCAGGACTCAGCGTCATCCCTTCGAGAGGGTCGCAACACCCTATCAACTCTACGCCTGGTCTGCACCCCAGACTGAGCACACCATCGACGCCATCAGGGCTGAGGACACTTTCTCAGCTAAATTGGGGTACGAGGAGCATATCCCGGGGCAGACGAGGGATTGGAACGAAGAGCTGCAGACGACTAGGGAATTACCCAGGAAAAATCTGCCAGAGCGACTGCTGAGGGAGAGGGCCATCTTCAAGGTTCACTCTGACTTTGTTGCTGCTGCCACTCGAGGGGCTGTTGCTGTCATCGATGGAAACGTCATGGCCATTAATCCAGGGGAGGAGGCCAAGATGCAGATGTTTATCTGGAACAATATCTTCTTCTCTTTAGGTGAGAATCTCTTCATTTTTTGGCGAAAAATATGAATCTATTAGGCTGAAGGCTCTCGGGCAATGACCATTTGTAAGAATGTACGGTTCTTGCAATAAATAACGTTAAAAAATGAGTTACGAATCCATTTTAGTGAAAATGTGAATTGAAATATAATAGAAATATAAGTAAACGTAAATTAGCTGCTGTCGGGGGTATTTTATTTAATCTGAAATGTTCTCCAATTGCCATCCAGTTTTACATAGTTCTGGAGCCTCCAAAAATTATGATTGTACAATCGAAAAAACGTTGAAAAAATAGGGGAGATGTTCAGAGAGCTTTTTGAGTAATATTGGGAGATAAACCCAATAGGGAGGAAATTTCAAATTAATAATTTAGTTTATCTAATGGCAGTGGCAGGCAGATTGTTACTTGCCATGATAGATTATCCATTTGCAATTGCCTCTATCGAATTTATTTCTTAATCTCTACTAAAAAAGCTCTTTAAAAATGTTCAGTTTTTTTTCTATTGTTTTTTATTGTACAATCATAATTTTTAGGGGCTTCTGTGTGATGTAAAATCCAATGGGAATTGTGATATATTTGAGCAGATCCACGCCAAATCAACAGGACAAAAAAGAGGGCGATTAGAATGGCGATTTTCCAAAATTTTTGAAAAAAGAACAATCGAAAAATATGGATAATTGAGGGAGTTGTGATCTCTTTGAAAATTGCTAGTTTTTAAAAATTATCAATAAAAAAAAATTAAATAAAAAAATTAAAATTAAAAATTTTCAATCAAATGTCAAGAATTCTCTAATTATACAATGGAAACACATTTTTCAAAGAGCCTTCATTTGTTGGTAATTGAGAATTTAATTGAATTGACTCATTTATAATTATTCAATTGAATATTCACTTATTTCCCCGATTCTTCAATATTAAAAGAATTTCCAACCTACATTGATCAAGGTTTAAATATAGTAATCGAAATTTAGAAATATGGAACTATAAATTTTTAAGTAGATAATACTAAATTTCTTATGAGGGATTTCCGGTTCTCCAAATAATCGTGAATCTTCCTAACTCAATCACTGATTAATGAATAATTCAAAATTTTACCATTTAAATTGATGATTAAAATTAAAATTAATAAAAAATGATATCAACTAATTGACTACTTAATAATTTAACAGTAATTATAATTTATGGATATGGCTATCCCTGGCGTCGATCTGCTCATTTTATTTATTTATTTTTCTTTTGAAAATGAAAAAACAACCGAGATAACGTTCTCTGGAGAAAAGAGACTCAGGAAAAGAAGAGAACACTCGCCCTGTGCTCGTAAAAATTCAAAAATTCATCATAACCAAATTCCTGAATCCAAAGAAAGTTCCAACCAACTGAGTCCCAGCCTCTAATTGATTTTTTCCTCCAGGTTTTGACGTTCGTGATCACTACAAAGAGCTCGGTGGTGACGCAGCAGCCTTCGTAGCACCTCGCAACGACCTTCAAGGGGTCAGAGTCTACGCAGCAGTCGACCTGCCTGGTCTCTACACCCTGGGAACAGTTGTAATTGACTACAGGGGCTACAGAGTCACAGCCCAGTCCATAATCCCAGGAATCCTCGAGCGAGAGCAGGAGCAATCTGTCGTCTACGGCTCGATAGACTTTGGAAAGACAGTCCTGACTCATCCGAAGTACCTGGAGTTGCTCAACAAAGCTGGACAGCAGCTGAAAATCCTCCCTCACAAGGTCATCAACGATGCAAACGAGGAGATTGAACTCTGCTCCAGTGTGGAATGCAAGGGGATCATCGGGAACGACAGCAGACACTATGTTTTGGATCTACTGAGGACCTTCCCACCTGATGTCAACTTCCTGAAGCTTGAGGGTGTTGAGTTGAGCAAGGAGGCACGAGCCCTGGGCTTCCCGGTTGAACATAAACATCGATTGGCTTGTCTAAGACAGGTGAGTTGCGAAAATGAGAGTCATTTTTTGTCATAGGTAGATCAAATTTAATTCTTGCATGAAGCTCATTTTTCCCTAATTTCTTATATTTCTTATATTCTTATATTTTCCCTAATATATTATTTTAAGATTTTGAAGACCTTAAAATAAGATCTTAACTTGAAGCCTGATCGATTACATAGATCTGAAAACGAATAATTAGTGCAAAAAAAATTTTTTTTATTGTTCGTTCACCCGAAAACGCTTAAAATGCTAAAAACAGTCCAGGGCCTCTAATTTTTGAGCTACAAAAGATTTTTTTTTCAAAATTTTCGAAAAAATGTGTAGAACGACAATCACGAGTCAGTTTTTTTGGAATTCGACTCCTACACAGCTGATTTCCGTTTTTTTTATGTAAAAAAAGTCACAATTGTGTAAAAAAAATACAAAAAAAGAAAATTTAGCCATGTGAGAGGCGAATTTAAAAAAAACTCGCTCATAATTGTTATTCCCCATATTTTTGGACTGTTTTTGGCATTTTAAGCATTTTCGGGCAAACGAACAATAAGAAAAATTAGTTTTGCACTAATTATTCATTTTCAGAGCTATATAATCGATCTTCAACGTATGAAAAGTCTCACTCCAATAACCCACGACTTTTAACTCATAGTAGTCTCCCCTTAAGGCTGCAAATTGAGATTTAAAAATAAAAATGAATCCATGGAACTCCCCATTCCTCCAGTACCATAAATCTCAAAAATTCCTACAAACATTAGCCTCCCCCGTTACACAACTCTCGCCCCCCAACCTCTCGACCCCACTGACCCCCTAAAATCTCAAATTTCCAGGAGCTCATCGACTCCTTCGTGGAGGCCCGCTACGTCCAATTCATAAAGCACGCAGCAGTGCACCTGCAGCATTTAACGACCTCCAAGCTCTCGCAGAAGCCGAAGGACTCCACAGACCCGCCGAAGCCCTCCCCAGACGCGAAGCCCCCGCAGGACGCCAAGCCCCTCCCAATCGACTCAAACAAGGAGACCACCACCTCGATCGAGGCGGACGAGGCCAAGAAGATCGTCGAGAGCATAACCGACTCCATCACCGGAGGTGAGAAGCAGGAGCTCGAGGAATCTACCAAAGAGATAGTGAAGCGTGCAGCAGCGGCGGTGGGCTCCCTCCGAGAGGCTGAATTCGACGTCAAGTTCAACCCCGACGTCTTCTCCCCAGGGGTGAAGCACCCCGACCAATCCGGGGACGCCCTGAAGAAGCAGAGACAGCTGGTGATCGACGCCGCCGACTTTCTGCTGACAGTCCAGCTGCCGACGTTCATCCGAGAGTGCCTGGACCACACAGCAGCAGCGATGGACGGCACAACCCTCGTAGAAGCCCTCCACGGTCGTGGCATCAACGTCAGATACCTGGGTAAACTCGCCGCAATGTTGGCAGCAGTTCCCCAACTCAAATACCTCCACAAGATCGCAGTCTCCGAGCTGATTCTGCGCTCCTCCAAGCACATCTTCACGTCGTACATGCAGGGAACCGAGCTGATGTCCCTGTCAGCCTCGATCTCCCACTTCCTGAACTGCCTCCTCTCCTCCTCGCAGTTCGTCCACCCCCAGCTGAACCTGGAGGAGCTGCAAAGCAAGACAGCAAAGCGCAGGAACAAGCGCAAGGGCAGGGCCAACGGTCCCCAGCAGTCGGAGGTCGAGTGGGCGTCGCTGACACCCAAGTCCCTCTGGCAGCAAATCAAGACGGATCTCAAGTCTTACTACGACTGGGAGACCCCATTCCCCGAGTCCTTCGACGCCACCATCGACCACTTTGACCTCCAGAAGATCTCGCTGCTGAGGAATTTCTGCGTGAAGACTGGCATTCAGATTCTCCTGAGAGAGTACAACTTCGAGAACAAGAACAGGGCGACCTTCTTCGAGGAGGACATCCTCAACATATTCCCAGTGGTCAAGCATATCAACCCCCGGGCGTCTGATGCCTACAACTTTTATACGACAGGACAGAGCAAGATACAGCAGGGCTATCTCAAGGATGGCTACGAGCTCATAAGTGAGGCTCTCAATCTCCTGAATAATGTTTACGGGGCGATGCACCCCGAGATCGCTCAGTGTCTCAGAATGCTTGCGAGACTCAACTACATCATGGGAGACCACGGGGAGGCCCTCGCCACCCAGCAGAAGGCTGTCCTCATGAGCGAGAGGGTCAATGGAATCGATCATCCCTACACGATCACTGAGTACATCCACCTGGCGCTCTACTCGTTCGCCAATGGCCAGGTCTCGGTGTCTCTGAGACTGCTCTATCGAGCCCGATATCTGGCTCTCCTTGTCTGCGGTGAGGACCACCCAGAGGTCGCCCTCATCGACAGCAACATCTCTCTGATCCTTCACGCTGTTGGAGAGTACGAGCTGTCTCTCAGATTTCTCGAGCACGCACTGTCTCTTAATCTCAGATATCATGGCCCTCGGTCTCTCAAGGTCGCTGTCTCGTACCATCTGGTGGCGAGAACGCAAAGCTGCATGGGAGACTTCAGAGCTGCCCTCAATAATGAGAAGGAGACGTATGCCATTTACAAACAACAGCTCGGGGAGGAGCACGAGAAGACCAGGGAGAGCTCTGATTGTCTCAGACACTTGACACAACAGGCTGTTGTTCTGCAGAAGAAGATGAATGAGATTTACACTGGCAAGAGTGGAGTCTCACTTCCACCCATTCAGATACAGCCACCGTCTATGGGAAGCGTTCTTGACATGCTCAATGTCATCAATGGAATTCTCTTTGTGCAGATCAGCCAGCAGGATATTGAGAATCTCAAGGCTGAGATTGAGAAGAGGCAGAAGGAACAGGGGGAGGGGAAGGAGAGGGAGAAGATCGAGGAGATTGAGAGCTGAGTTTGATCGGGGGGAGAGTGAGAGGCAGATTTCGAGGGGTTCTAAATCACTCAGTGAACGGATTCAGCCCCAAGCGATGGGATTCACCCAGGAATCAGGGATTTTTGGGGAAATTAAAAAATTATGGTTTGGTTTAAAGGGTGCCACGTTTCGATAAATATACGCGCAAGAAAAAATTTAAAGGAGCTCTGTACTTTTGGATATTTTCAGTTTTTTAATTTTTCAACTAAATTGCATGGAGAAAATTTGAAAAAATTCATACCCAGTCAGTATTATTCTAAATTAAATTTCACAAAATATTGAGATTTTTTCAGATTTCCCTCTTATAAATAAATAGTAAAACTTGTTTGCAAAGCGGTGGATTATTTTTTATGAGGTGTGAAGAAAATTCTTCATTTTTTCACATCTAATGAAAAAAAATTCAGATTTTAATCTTTGATTAAAATGGAAATGTTGATTTTCACATAAGACACTGGGTTAAATTCTGATTTTTAAACATTTGTTCTTTGAAAAACCAAAACGATAATTAAATTGAGAAAAAAATAGGATTCTGAATCTAATCGAGTTTTCTGCAAGTTTTTTGCTTTTTTAAAATAATTTTTGAATTTACAGTAGACTCTCGATAACTGTCACTATTCCGGGAATTTCTCGGTTTCGAGCGTTTTTCGCGGAACGTAAACATCCGCCACTCGCACGCCTCGATTCCTTGCAGTTTTCCCTAAACTCCGCCCCTAATCGTGACACGCGCTCAGGGAGCCTATTCGTGATCGCAACGTAGATGTGGGAGCCACCAAGTGGTCTCTGACCTACTACCCTTGGCGTGCAACCAATGAGAGTCTGATGACTGAACCAATGATGGGTGTCAACCAATGAGATCACGAAAAATCCAGAGATCTCATTGGTTGCCCGCCAAGAGTAGTTAGGTCAGAGACCACTTGGTGGCTCCCACATCTACGTTGCGATCACGAATTCTCAAGTTTGAGGTGAACGAATTTGTGAACGGAAGTGGCTCCGTTCACGTATCGCGTTGGAGAACAAGTTTTCGTAAACGAATCCTTGATCCACATGTGGATGTCGTTTTCGATTCGCACGTGAGGATACTCGTATAAGAATACACTTAACCTCTTCTGGAGAACGAAACATTAAACATTTTTTTGTTTGATTTTCATAATGAGAAGAAACGGAAAATGTAATGAAAAAAACTTGGAAAATTTGAGTCGAGGAAATTCTGTTCAAAATTTCTCAATAAAATAAGTTGTGTCGAAAAATTTAATACATTTTTCTATAGAACATTTTCTATTGAACATCTCAATAGAATCGGACGAAAACTAATAAAAAATTCTGCAGAAATCCAAGAGAAATATCTAGAAAATTCGCCAAGTTTTTCTTTTAAATTTGTTCATCCATATATTTCAGCTTCATCAGGCTCTATAAAGAAATAAAAAGCAAACGTGTTAAAAATTGCGCTAAAATTCTCAAAGAAATAATCACATCACAAATTTTAGTGCAATTTCCAACATGTTTGCTCTTCATTTCGTTGTAGAGCCTGATGAAGCTAAAATATATTTTTCATCTCGCTGTGCAAAAAAGTAACTTTTTAGGCACGCTTCGCCTAAAACGTCCCTTTTCCACAGATTGTGATGAACTAGTATATTTCGTAACGAGTGCAAAAAAGTGTTTTTTGGCGAGTGGGAGGTTTATATCACGAGCCGAAAGCGAGTGATATAATCCCACGAGCTAAAAAACATTTTTTCACGAGTTACGAACAATATTTTTCATCACAATGTGGCGGAAATTTGACTTTTAGGCACACGGAGCGAAAAGTTCACTTTTCGTCACAGCGTGATGAAAAATATCGTTCGATACTCGTGGGAAAAGTGTTTTTTGGCTCGTGGGAGGTTTATAGCACGAGCCGAAAAAACTCTTTTCCGCACGCCTAACGAAATGTACTATACCGAAACGTCGCATCCTTGACAATTAGATGATAATATTTTTATTTTCCCAAAAATCCCTCATTCCTGCGTTAGTTCTAAATCACTTGCGGACCTGGAGAATTTTTTGTTTATCGAGGGAGGGATGCTAACAGCTGTATAGATTAAAGTGTGAGGGAGGATTTATAATTTTGAAATCATGAGGGATTGAGGGGAGTAGCAGGTGTTTAGGGCATTTTTTACCCCATGAGTTGAGGGGAACCCATTTTTTTCGTCTTGAGGAGGGCGAGGAAGGGGAGGAGGGGAGACATAAATGATGTAAATAGTTTCGAGTTATGATCTAGGGTCATTGCGAGTCACTAAAAACTCAATGATAATATTTTTCTTTCTGGTGTTGCCTTTAGTATTAGCAACGATTTACGTTGAAATGGAAAAAAAATTCTTTTGACTCGTGTGACTGAAAAAATGATAAATGAATGGTGGAAGTTGAATGGGAAAATTTTTTTTGGGGCGATATAAGAGAGGGCAATCGCTTATTTTATTCTAGGTGATTGGGTAGAGAGGGGTGAAATTGTTGAGCGAGTGATTGTGGGCTTTTTCACGGATTACGGTCGCATGAGACTTTGGGAATTGGAATTTTCAATCATTGTTGGATTTTTTTAAATAGAGTGGCCGAATACTTCGCGAGGGCACTTCACGCTGATTCGTGCGCCCCCTTTTTAAGGCTCATCTCTTTTGTTTTAATTATGGTAGAATTGCAAATAGAGTAGTTGTGAATTGATGAGGGAGTTTTCGGGGGAATCTGTCGTGACAATTGATTCAATCGATTGATGTGCGCTTGGTAACGACTCCATGTATTAGGGGGGAAATTCCTGCTGTAAAATTCTGGTTCGAGACTAGAGTTGTGAATATGATCGTAATTTTTTTGTCGTAAATTGAATATTTTGACTATATGACTGATGTGGAAAGAAAAATATTCAATGTACGACAAAAAAATCATAAATTTGAATGAAAAATGTCATAAATTCACACGGTGAAGCTGAAATTTGACTCCATGCAGAAGCGAAAGGAAATTCCTGCTGTTAAATTCTGGTTCGAGAGTAGAGTTGTGAATATAATCGTCATTTTTTTCTCATAAATTGAATATTTTTACGATATGACTCATATAGACAGAAAAATAATCAATTTATGACCAAAAAAATCTTTAAAATTTAATGAAAAATTGCATAAATTCACACAGTGATGCTGAAATTTGACAGTAGCGAAGGGAAATTCCTGCTGTAAAATTCTGGTTCCGTACTGGATTTGTGAATATGATGATTTTTTTTGTCATAAATTGAATATTTTGACCATATGACTGATATAGAGAGAAAAATGTTCAGTTAATGACAACAAAAATCATAAAAATTGAATGCCATAAATTGAGTATTTTGACTATATGATTCATATCGACAGAAAAATAATCAATTTATGACAAAAAAAATCATAAAATTTTAATGAAAAATGACGTAAATTCACACCGTGATGCTGAAATTTGACTTCATGCAGTAGCCAAGGGAAATTCCTGCTATAAAAGTCTGGTTCCGGACTAGAGTTGTGAATGTAATCGTCATTACTTGTCATAAATTGAATATTTTGATCATGTGACTGTTATGAAGAGGAAATAAGATGGTCACATGAAATTTATGCTCCAAAAATGTCATAAATTTAAAGCGTTTTGCCGTTGCGCTACTGAATTTGCGTCAAATCAAGTATATAAATGCATAATGACGATCATAAAAAAATAGTTTTTCAATAACTCGAGATTGGCAGAGTAATTCAACAAATTATAAGTCATTCTCAGACTGTTTTTTTAAACTTCAGAATGAGATCAACTTCATTCAAGTCGTATCAAAATGATCTTCACCCCATAAACTTACATGTAAAGTGCCATCTCAAGCCGTAAGCTCCGCCCACCCACCAGATCCCCATATTTCTCCTTTAATTGGACCACGTGACGTCGAATACCGCAATTCCATTGGTCGGAAGGGTGATGGGGGAAATAATCTAGAAATCGCGGAGCGAAGTTGTAATTCGATAAAAAACACTTTTCGCGGAAGTTATTTTACGATTCATTCGGTAAAAAAACACATCTATGGATGCAAAAATGTTTTTATGGATGCACTGTTTTTTTTTCAAGAGCTAGAAATGGAAACCGCTCCAGGATTACTTGACTTGTTCGCTAATTCAGTAGCGAAGCGGTAAAACAATTTAATTCGACTCATCTCTCAGTTTCGTTTTTTAGGAATATCTCCGAATCTAAGAAAGATAGTGAAATTTTCGTCATGACCTTTTTCAATGCGCTCAATTCGCTCTACAAAAAAGGTTCCAACAAAAAATTTTGTATCTGCCTTAGATTCCGAGATATTCATTAAAGACTGACGAGTAGTCAAAATCGACTTGAACCGTTTTACCGCTTTGCTACTGAATTTTTCTTCAGCTTTTTGCTCCGTGCACGTGACGGTCACATGATGTGTGACAAAAAATTTGTCCCACTCTACTCCAGATCTTTTTCGATTGATTCTCCTTCCGAGATATTGATTCGGAGTGTTTACGAGCCGAAATGGGCTCAAAACCTCTATTTTTCCAGTGGAAATTTCCCTGGCCATCTCATGGCGAAAGTCATCCATTGAGTCTTCTACACATCTTCAAATCAACCAATAATGAATCCCAAAAGACAGTGGAAGTGATCCTCGTTTAATAATATAGTGCCGAAGAGTAGGTAATAGTTTCTAGTGATAGGAAAAATAGTCCTTAAGCAGTTATCGTTACCAATAAACAGGAAAAAAAAGTAAAAAAATCATTTCTAGCACAAAATAAAAAGCAAAACGAAAAATTGGGATTCAAAAGTTCTCGGAAGCCTAAGAATTTTTTTACTTTTTTTTTATCGATTCACTTTTTTAAAATTTCCTTGGAGTTGCGAGAGAACAAATGATAACGTTACTAGTTGAATAATATATCGCACCTGTTAGTAGTTACTATAGGAGTCGAAGGGATTAAAACTCGGTGAGTAGAAATGTAAGGAGTGAGAACAAACAATTCGAAGGACATGTGCGTAAATGAATGAAAAATTAGATAAATACCTGATTTTACGTCATATGAATATTATATATATACTCTGTTATATAATTTGGTAATGAGAACATTGTGAAAATGAACAATTACACCAATAAACGCCATTTTGTATGCAATTTGTGTATGATTTATTAAAATACTTGAGTGAGCAAGAATTTGTTTTTCATTGTTGTGGCTTGCGGATGGACGTCGCGTCTAGATTCAGCTTGACAATGTGACAAGACTTGTCCAATGTGAGAAGACCGAAATGCTTGCCAGCTCACAAGGATAAAAATTCTGGTTCCGGACTGGAGTTGTGAATATGGTCGTCATTTTTTTCCCATAAATTGAATATTTTGACCATATGACTGATATATGACGCCACGTGTCCGTAAGTCCGCTGCCTACGGCCGTTATGACAACATAGTATATTTCGTCATTAGGCAGAAGAAAATTGCAGGCGGCTGTAACGAAGATACAGCCGTAATTGTACGTGGATACGTCCATGATATTTCCTTCATTCTCGAATTTCCTAGAAACTCCTTGTATTCTCTCGAATTTTCTAGAAACTCCTTGAATTTTTTCGAAATTTCAAGAAACTTCTCAAATTACCTCGGAATGTCTAGAATTCCGATAGATGGCGCTTCACATAAGGACCTGTGACGGCTCAGCCGCCTCAGCAACTGAGTTACCCAATCTCAATTATTCTATTCTACGCCCTTCTCGTTTAATCACCACAGCAGTGGCATTATCATCTTTCGTACTTTGAATACTCTAAATAATTATCCCTAAGTGGACGATTTTATGTCGACATAAAATCGTAAATTTCAACCAATGACAGTCCTGGATTCGGAATACTCAACTAGCATTGGTTGAAATTTATGATTTTATGTCAACAGCGATGAATAAGTCATCTCCATTGTGAGAAAGTCAATCTCATTATCTATTGAGCTTTATTGGATTCTCCACTTTATTATTTGGAGCCCCCGGAAAGGCCAGTTGGGCCTGAAAAGATCCATTTTATTCTGAAGAGTTAAAAAAAACTACCAAAGACAATTGAATTAGTTTTGTCATTTAAGAATGCTGAATGAAACAAGTTAATGTCACGACAAAAGATGATGACGCGACGAATTCAATAGAGATGAATAAATAATGAGATTGACCCTTGTAAAATTCATCCCTTACACGGTATGACCCTTGCGAGGTATGAACCTCGTGACTTTTATCACCCTCGCGAGGCATTAATCTTCGCGAAGCTTCACGGTTTACGATTTTATCGTAACGTCGGCTTTTTTTTTTACATTTTTTACATTTATTACGTAAATACGCAGTATTCCCTAACCGGGTCGAAGCGATGTAAAATAACGATTAAAAAAAAAAATTATTACGTAAATTACGGGTTTTTTACGTCATGTAAAAACTGCGGTTATCGACAGATGGCCAATGCAGCATGACTTTCTCTCCGAAACTTCAAGATCATCGATATCAAGACATCTGCATGACCCATCCATCGATAAAAAAGATATCTCCATAAAAAACACTCGTCAGAGTCCGGAAAAATGGCCGACAGTGAGAAGGAGGAAGCCCACAATCTCGTAAGCAATATTCCTCTGTCTAACATTTTATCTAATCGTAATGACCTTGTTGATCGTCTTACGCATTCCAAGATAACTGTGATAGCAGTCCCCAATATGCTTGGGAATACTAATTCTCTGGCACATTAATTGTGAGGGCTCACCCACTCCTACAGGTTATGTTTAGCCTCGGATAGTCAAGTCTATCTGACAGTTATCACGGAGAAATAATATTTGACAACTACTGGGGCCTCTCAACACCCACACACTGGGAAAATGATAAGTTATCGGAGAGTCGAGGAGAGAAAAAATACTCTCGGGATGTTAATTCAATATCAGTCGTGTATTAATGCTCGTCATAGTTCAGTGGGACAGTTCGGACAGTTGGAGGTTCAGTCGATGAATTATTGATTTTAGTTTTGTGTGGGGGACAACAGGGGATTACTCGCTATGATGATGATGGTGGACTTTTTATTGGACTTTTTTGGGTGTGATTGTTGGGTTGAGGGGTTATAATAAATATTCTTTTTTTTGGTCTTGCAGCAGATGGAGTTCGAGTGGGTGCTGCATGATGAGGTGCACTCCTCACTGGCACAGTTGCGAGGGATTCTGATGGTGAGTGCTTGGCTTAATTAGTTTAATAACGACGGGGAGAATTCAATTAGTGGAGGTGAAGGTTTTTATTTACTGTGGGATTATCTCGGTGAAGGGGGTTCTGAGGAAAAATGTGGGAAGATTTTTTTGTAGAAAATTTATTTGAAAATGTCGGTATTTTGAGATTATTCAATTGTTAATGAAATTGAAAAAGGGTAAATTCGAAGGAAATGTCAAAAGATTTTTTGCAGAGGAAATTTCTCACAGAAATAATTTTGTTAGTTGTTGTTTTGTGTGAGTAATGAGTGCATTTTGCGAGGCTTTCGAGACATATTTTTTTTAGATTAAATTTCTTGAATAAAATATTGATTTATTTGTTCCTCTCAAAGACCTCGTGATTGGGGTAATTAAATATTAATTACCTCAGTAATTGACTTGTTCCGTTGCGTTTCATCGATTCACTAATGATTCTTTGTGCCTTCTGCTTCCGTTTTGTTCTACAAATTTATCTGGAACTCGAATTGACTCTTCGTCCACTGAAATTATAACATCATTGTGTACTTTTTGAAGTCAATTTTTAGACATCTACTAGCCATAGAATTACTGTTGTAAATTGATATGACCCTGAGGAAGATTTAATTCAATACTGAAAAAATTTATTTATATTAAGGAAGAAAGAGTAGATTTGTTCTTCTTCCTTTTCCATTTAGGAATGTGCCCAAAGATTTCCCCTAGCACTCTTCGGCAACGACCAACAATGCAAAACTGACAGATTCGTTTTTGCGGCACCACACGACCAAGTCAAATGTGTTGCAGTCCTCACTGGGGATAGTATTACCAATGCAGTGAGTAACAATTATAATTTATAATTTCAACAATCTTTTTCCAATTATTCCGACTATCCCAGGGGCTATCGGGGCCATCAAAAAATCTCAAAGAACTTCCCTTTTAAAGTAGTATGAATAGACTCCAATTGAATCGTTGAGTGTAACGGGAAAAAATAAACTTGAAATGCCCAAAAAAATAATTATTCATCATCGAATTTTTTAAATATGAATTCTGCAGTTGATGAAGGTGAGAAATTAATCCTTCGCAGAAAAGAAATTGCAAAAAGTATTATTTTCATGTCTAAACTGCTGAAATGACTTACAGAGGTCATGAACACGAGAATTACGCTATATTGACATCATTTATTATGTTATCAGTTAATCTTATATTTATTAGGAGAGCGTGAGGCAAAATGAAACAGCCAAAAAACGACTATTTGACGAAATTCAAGCAAAAAAAAAATTTATCGATTTTTGTTTATCAACTTTTTTTATTATTGGGAGTACTGATGAGAATAATAATTATCTATGCGGTAGAAAAGAACATGCGGTGCGAAAAAATCACTGATATTCGAAAGCCCTGTATAGCGTATCGACTACCTACACAGATGAATCCCACTCCTCTGTTAGATCTCGATCTCAACGTCCACTAGTCAGCTGTCCCCTGACTCTCCAGCAGCCAAACTAAGACCTCGTCATCGCTGAGTCTATGCTCTCTCCTCATTGGAAACTCCCCAAGGTTTTTCATATATTTCTTATATCGAGAAGACAATATTAATAATTTTCCCTAATTGTATCTACAGTTTTCTTTTCAAGTAATATTAAATATGTCATCTATAATTCAATTGATTAGATTAGGGCGATTACACTTTTCTTTTTTCATTCGATTGAAATTCAGCATCACATTTTCCTTTTCCCCCCTCTGGGTCTCCCCCTGGGCCTTCCTCTGGACTTTTTATTTTGCTGTTTCATTTTCTTTTCAATTAATCCACTGACAAGTTCTTCTCCCGTCAAAAGTTCTCAATAATTTTCCATTCTGCTGAATGGAAAATGATTATTTTCATCAGTACTCCCAATAAAAATAAGTTGATAAACAAAAGTTGATAGAAAAATTTATTTTTGCTTGAACTACGTTAAAGAGTCGTTTTTAAAGGGATAGCAGTCTGGAAATTCGTTCGGTCTGCATTCAATTGATGCTTCACGTCATTAAAAATGATTATTGATCGGGGAAAATTTTGCTCAGGAAGTTACCTTCAAAGTCCAGAGACAGCAGAACGTGTCTATGCGAACGAGTATACAAAACGATCATCCATGGAAACTGCAACAGATTCAGGACGCAGCTAATCACCTTCAACAGGCAATAGCACACATTGACAATGTGGATAAACAGTATTCATTCAAAACTTCCGACGAGGTGATGCACATCCTTGGAAATATACTTGGGTGCCTCCAGAGAAGCAGAACTAGTCTTATTGTGCCTAAGAAAAAGGCGATTGATGATTTAATCAAGAGCCGAAACATGGTAATTTATTTTTCAAATCAATAATTCTTTTCTCTGCTTCAATTCCAATTTTCGAACGTGAAAAATTATTTTTGAGAGAATTCTACTCATTTTTGAGTGCAGGTTAATTTTTTGGATGAGAAAGCCGTTGAAATTTACGTTCTAATAATGTAGAAAATGACATGATGAAATGATGATGAATTGAAGAAGGCATTAATCAATTTTTTAAATTATTTTACGCTGAAAAAAAATGAATGGAATCGTTTAAAAAAGTGAATTTTACTTCGATAAATTGACAGAATAATTTTTTGTCTGCCTTGATTCAATCGTAAACACATCAAAGAGTCATTTGTGCGGATTTCGTGAAGAAATCTTTAGGATTAACAGTAAAATTAGTCGAACTAAATGATTTAATGAGTTGTTCTTGATTTTTCAGAAATCGCTAAATCCAAATTTACCGGAAAACTTGGCAATAAGTTTTTATATACAGAGTTACAAGCTCGTTCTAGCTGTTTATCAGTTGGAGAGTACCCATGGAAGTCTGAAGTACGAGTCTCAGCAGGCTGAGTGCAGTGTTCCCTGGTTAAATGATGCGCTGGTGCTGCTTACGATATCCCTCCAGCTATGTCAAAGGTTAAAAGACAAGGTAATACCTCTCAAAGCCATTCAGAATGAAAAACAATTCTTTAAATACTTAAAATTTACATTCTTGTTGAGGAGGTGATTAACCTCGCTAGTGACTGATTTTAGGGAAAAAATGCCAGAAAACATTATTTGCGTAAAATTTAATTCTGCACAAAAAAGGTCTTTTGACATTTTCTCTTTTAATCGCTCATTAACGAGATAATTCTACACAAAATGCGACGAATGATAAGTAAAAATTAAACTTTTTATTAATTGTCTATTAATCTAGGTAATGAGGGATTTTAGCAGAAAATGTCACATAACATTTTTTGTAGAAAACTTCGTGACAAAAAATGTTCTGTGACATGGACCTCTACAATCGCTTATTATCGAGATATTTGCATAATTGACAAAGAGGAAAAAAAAAATGACAGAAAAAATGAAAGAATTATTTTTCTCTCATTCTTTTCACAGATCTGCGTATTTTCCCAGTACAAAGACTTCACCGTGGGATCACGTGTACCATCAGCAATGGGCTGATAAACCTCCACCAGTAATAAAGGACGTAATGAAACTCTTAACCATCAGTTCACGTAATTTCGTTTGAAATAGAAATTGCGTTTCCAGTCAATCTCCTAGAGAGCATAAACCAGCCATTAAGTTAGTGCCACCTAATTCAGGACGTAAAAAATCACTTGAAATAACTATTTCCATTCTTTATACTTTAGTCGATTTTTAGAGTCAAAAATCATGAAAAACCATTTTTTACTCTAAAAAATCGAAAAAATAAAAGAGAAAAGGAATAACAATTCTCTAAAATACCTTCCAATACGTGAAATAATTATTTTCATGATAAAGTATATTTATTTGTATTTATAAAGTTGATAAATAGTGAAAAAACGAATTTTCACTCTAAAAAAAAATTCGTAAAAATGAGGAAAATTGATTGCAATTAATTATCCATTTGAAAATTGTTTAAGAACGCTCGTCAAGATATTTTTAAGCAATTGAAGTGATTTACCCACCAAATATAAATTTTATAGTTTTTTCGATTTATAAGTAAATTTTCGTTCGTAAAAAAAATTAGAAAAATTGATAAAATTTCATTTTCCGGTGAAAAAAAAAGAGTAAAAAAGAGTGGAAATATATTTCGTGGTATTTTATTCAAAGTTGCTCGCTAATTAATGAGAATAATTGTATTTTTAATCACTGAAACGGGGAAGAGTCTTTAAAAAACATCTGACAATAATTGTATTCGAGTTAATGGAAGTTTTAATGGAGTCGACAAACAATTATGCACTTGATTGGCATTGAGGTGTTTTAGCACGTTAATTAGACGCCATGGATGGGTTATGCAATGACTTCTCCCGCCTGAATTAATTAATCATTGAAATTTGTCGGGAAAAAGTGACTAATTATAACCAATTCGCCCCGTTGTTGTCCTAGAATAATTTATCATTAATTGAACGGTGATTAATATATTGTTTTGAAATAAATAAATGAGTTTGAGGAGTGATTGTTGTATAATGGTTCCCATGTAATCGTTGCTTAAGCATTTTTATGCTTAAGGTTGTGTCAATTTTAGGACATTTGTGCTAATAAATTAATTGTTTGTTCGAATCAACGAGTGTTTCTTCTTTGTAAATAAATTCATTGACAGTGGAAGGTGTGGTCCGTAGGCGTACTAAAATTATGTATGTAAAGAATTCCAGTGATTGATTTTTTTTGTTTTTTTGGTGATTAAATAATTGAGAAATAGAAATTCAAGTTTTGTCTACTTTCTTTTTAATTAATTGACAAGGTTTTTTTCAATATTTTTGAATGCTATTTCATGTTGTGAATTCAGATTTGTTCTTTCATGAACAAAATTATCCCACCGTCAATTAAAAATTTATCATTTGCAGAAGAATGTTTTGCATTTTTTTTAATTTCTGAGAAATTTTAGTGATTTTACAATTCTGAAAAAAAGATTTTTGTTTGTATAAGAAAATTTAGATTTCATCCAGTTTTTACGTAAGTTTAATTGACATAGAATATTCCGAGACTTAATGTTAATGAGATATTCATAATTAGAGTCAAATCTAACGATTTTTTAGTCATGAAAAAAATGATTTCTGATGATTTTTTTCACTTTCACGATTTTATTTTTCATTGGTTTGAGTTAATTAAATTGTAAACAAATTGGTAATGAGTAGAAAACGGTCTCCCAGTTATTTTAAATGCCCATGAGGGATTCTATTCATTTTATTCTTTGTTTTACTAATTTTTCGTTGATTAGAAAACTATAAAAATCGAAAATTTACGATTCTTTTGTATTTTTGACTGAATTGTTGTTTAATAATTTCGTTCAAATGATCTAGTTTAGATGAAGTGTTGAAGGTATTTTCCAGTATTATTTTCGTGGATAATGAATAAATATTTGGATTTCAAGAATAAAAAATTGAATAAAAATAAAAATAAAACGATTCAAATATTAAAATGTTTCAAGTGACTATTGTTAAACATAGACTGCATTTTAATATTCATTCACAACATATATTAGTATATATTCGCCATTAACATGGTATAGACTTATATGTATATATAATTTTTGTTTCTTCATATAATATATTAATATAATTTGTTGCTTTTTACTTCATTTATGCATAGGTACGTCGTTCCTCGTCTTTTACACAAAAATATAGAATCTATAAGAGTAGAAGTTGCCAAAAAAAATTCACCCAGTTTGTTTATTTCTTTATTTAATTCTAAATCAACAAATAAACTAAGTTTACTTCGAGTTTTTGTTGAAAATGTTTTTGGCAAATTGATGATCAAGCTTTAGTTATGAGGTATTTTGCATGATTGATATTGTAATATATAGATTCGTACACTGATTATTGCACCATTCATTGTTGCTAATTACTTGATTGATTAATCGTATTAAACAATACAAGAATTTTCGTTGGAAAACGAAATTAATTTGTTGTAAAAAAGGCGAAAAAAATCCAGAGGTGAAACACTAAATTTTTGCCAATTAAAAAAATTATAAATCACCATTTCTAATAATGACGCATTCGTCTTGATCACGAATGGTTCCAGAGCAAAATATCAAGAGTGCTGAATTCTTTTTTTATCGAAACAATTTTTTTTCAATGAAAGTTCTCGAAAAACCGTAAAAAATTGCTAATTAATTATTCAGGCTCTTAATAAATAAATAAAGTTTAAGTGACGAGGAATGTCGAGACGCGTGCGAGGACCCAATGGTAATACTGGAAATTACAAATAGCGAAATTATTCAGTTTTATTAATTCAAATGGTATTCCATGGGAGGCTGGTACCATGGGATCACATTCACAATTTAATAATTGTCAATTATTTTGTTATTGAGTCCTCGCACGGGCCCTGACGTAATTCCCAGTGAGTCGAGGATATTCTCTCTTCAATAAAACTTTTTTTCCCAATACAAACGTAGGATTTTAATTTTGTTTTTAGAATAAAGACATTTTAGTTTTTTGTGAAAGAAAAATATTTGTTAATCAATTAATTAACAATTCTACAACTGAGTTCAATCAATCATTCGATTGATGAAACCCTCGAATACTCAGGGGAAGAAATAATTTGATTCAAAGGCTTCAGTTCCATTAACAGTCCTGTAACTAATTTTTGTGCAACAAAACAATTATTATTTTCAAGTTTTTTTTCTCTCTCTCTTATCAAATCATCGAACATTAATTCCCTCCCTTATCAGCGATTCTGCGCGATAATTCCATGACATCTAGGGAAATTAAGGAGAAGTCGTTTTTAATCGCAACGGAAAAATTACAAAATTTCATTTTCGTGCTGAAATAAAACTAATGGACAATTTTTTTATCGCATGATAAATTCGTTAGAGCGGATTAAATCAGTAGAATCAACTCAGTTGTGATTTTTTGTTCATTGTAGGCCGTTGGGTCCGAATTTCTCAACCAAAATGTAAAAGGAGAAAGACTCAGAAATTTCATACAGCATATTTTGCGAATATCTCCGAAACTACTCGGTTTATCAAAAAATTTCGTAAAATCTCCTTTGTAGCTCGTAAAATTTCCAACAAAAAAGTTCTTCTGACACTTTCTCCTAAAATGACCTGTTACCGAGATAATTCGATTCTAAGAGAAAATGTCATCAGGAATTTTTGTGAGGGATTAAAATTCCTTCTGAAGATATTTGCAGAATAATCCCATCAAGTTTTTAAACTCATCTCCAGTCTCTGAAGCACTGAAATGAAAAAGTATTTTGATAAATCGGCCAGAATTGACGTTTTGTTGAACAGAAAATTGACGAAAATTTTAGATTTCACTAGTTGCTGAGATGTTCAAGATAATACACCTGCCCTTGTAGACATCATTTCCATTTTTATTGGCTCAAATTGTGAAATAATTCATAATTTGATAGAGGATAATCATTCTTATTTATCTGATCCCGATGAGGAGGAAGGTGGTGTGTTCTGGGTCTTGTCAGTTGGTGGTACAGGGAGAGCCTTGAGGATGGCGTGCACCTCTTCGGCAACTGCAACTAGGACAAATTCAAATTGTTGTTTAGTGGATACCATTCCTGGGCGTTGATCTCTGATATGCTCCAGAGCGGCTGCTATATCGATTTCTTTAGCTCCCTTTGCCATTCGATTGAGGACCATGTCAATTAAACAGTAGGTGCCTGTCCTCCCTGCCCCATCGCTGAAAAATAAATGAGGATTTTACGCGAAATTGATTTTAGTGCACGGAAAAAAAAACCATGATTCAAGTATATTATTCAATGTCGACAGCCAACATTTCTCCAACGTTGACGGCCAACGTTGCACCAACGTTGTCAGCCAACACTGTTCCAACGTTGGCTGCCAACATTTCCCCAACGTTGGTAGCTCATTGTTCCACCGGCAGCCAACGTTTCTCCAATGTTGGTAGCCAACATTGCCCCAATGTTGAAAATCAACATGGGCCCAACGTTGGCCCAATGTTGACAGCCAACATTGCACCAATGTGGGTAGCCAACATTTCCCCAACATTGGTAGCTAATATTGCCCCAACGTTCGCAGCCAACATCGTCCCAACGTTGGCAGTTTAACATTGTCCCAACGTTGGCAGCCGACATTGTCCCAACGTTGGCCGCCAACATTTCCCCAACGTTGGCAGCTAACATTTCCCCAACATTGGCGGCTAGCATTACCTCAACGTTGGCTGCCAACATTGTCCCAACGTTAAATTGTTTTACCTTTCCCTGAATATTGGTTTCAAAATACATTTTTTCAACAACAGATGATGCAATCAATCTAATAATCGGTCAAGATGGCATTGAAAAGAATATTTTAAATCACTATTGGATTCATTTAAACAATTATATTATCAGTTATCGTCAAAAAACGATCGCTCATTAGGTAAAATTCAGTTACTCTGCATTTATTCGAAATGGTCAAATCAAGAATCTCATTCGATTTAACAATTGCGTCATTTTTCCGGGACTAGTTCCCCAAACTCTTCAATTATTCCCCAAATCAATAAATAATTCCTACCTGCAGTGAACAACAATAGGACAGCTTCGTCCCCTGTACGACTTATTGACCTTCCTCCTGAATTCCAACAATGCCTTAGTCGACTGAGGCACCCCATTCTCCGGCCACGAGAGGAAATGAAATTGCGTGACAGTTCTAGTTTCGCCAGTTCTCAGATTCTTCAGATAGAAAGAACGCACCAAGTAATCATCGCACCAGATATGTTCAGATACGAGGTGAACCTCGTAGATGTGGTACAGCTCAGATCCCTCCTCCGGCCAGTATCGGTGGCACATGGCCTGCCCTTCCTCGGTTAATCGGGTTAACATTACGATAACAACACTTCCTTGCTCCCAAACCAATTGCCAGAAGTCTGCCGAGGTCTGAGGAAGGGGTCCCTGGGTGGCTATATACGCTGGATTCCGCGGATCGTGGTCGGTCTGGATCAAACAACAACAATTATTCATAATTATTCTACTGTTTTTTTCCAAGGAAATCGTGGGGAATTTCGTGAATTAATTAATTGTGAAAATGTAAATGCTGTGAAATACAGTTATTTTTTATGAACATCAATTTTTTTGGAGCTCTGAACTTTTGCTGAAATTACTGATTTTTTTTTAGTTGTTTGAATCATTTCTCTCCGAATTTATGGATGGAAAATTTTCATAGAAAACCTGATAAATTGGAGCATATGATTCTCATCAGTCATATTGATTTATGTAATGAGAATATTATAAGAATGATTAAATAAATCTCTTTATATTATGAAAATTTTAATCGACTTCTGGTGATAAAAATTTCGGACTCGAAATTAAGACTCCACAATTAAGGTGAACAAGGGTCAAAATAATGGTCATGAGGGTCACGAGGGTCATAAGGATTCGAATAAGGATCGTAAGGTTCAAAATCGGGGTCATGAGGGTCCAATTAAGGCCCGATAAGGATCACAAGGGTCAGAATAAGGGTCTTGAGGGTCAAATGGAGCTCACGACGGTCAGAATAAGGGTCACGAGGGTCAAATTATGGACCACAGGGGTCAGATTAAGGATCATGATGGTCGCGAGGGTCAAAATAATGGTCAGTGAGGGCCAGAATAAGGATCACAGAGGTCAGATTAAAGCTCACAAGGGTCAGATTAAGGATCACGAGGGTCAGTTTAAAGGTCACAAGGGTCAGAATAGGGATGGGTCATCAGGGGTTGGTGAGCGGAGCGAGCAGGGGGCGTAGCCCCCTAGTAAAATAAATAAAAATAAAAATTGAAAAAGGGAATATCGAATCTGAACGGAAGTTCAATATAATTTTTATAGATTCTCGATAGAATTCGAATAATTTTCTCGATTTCTATAAAATTATTGGCCCCTATTTTCGCATGTGAAAATGCGAAAAGAAACGAAAAAAATTAGAAAACACGAAAAAATTTCGACTCCCGTGTCACTAATCCTGTCGCTAATTGTAAGGTTTTTCATTTCAGTCAAGGCAATAGAACTGAATAATTCATAAATCATGAAGTGCATTTGCATTACCAAAAAATTCACGCCATTAAAATTTGCAATTCAGGAATAATTCAAGCAAGCTCCACTAGATGGAAAAATCTCCAGAACTCCAGATTTAAAATTCTAATCATGAAATTCACAAGCGAATGATGATTGAAAAAAAAAATGATCTACTCTGTCTGCTTCGCATTCCTAATCCTAGTACGAGCCAGAAGCGTTAATACATCATATTCTCCCTCAGTTGTGGTGGAAAAATGACCGCACATGCTCCAGAAAGCGGCAACTCGCATTAGAATGCACGACAACGTATTTCGCGCCCCAGAAAATCCAGAAATTTTCATCCCTTATTTCAACTTACCGGGGTCTGAATTATTTATTAGCCGCATCCAAAAAATAATTCCGTAAATATCATTGGCTCAACTAATATCAATTTTCATTCCATGGAAAGTCGATGGGTCAATGGGATTAATACATAATTAATGCGAAACATTTTTTTTTATTTTTCATTTTCATTCTGATTTGAACGATCAGCGAAAAAATTTCAATGGAAAACCTAGTGTATGGTAGTTGGGAACTTGATATTATCGACTGGCAAAGAAAATATCGAGAGATTAGTTTGGTAGCTAAAGAAATTTTTATGCTCATCACTTGTGCGTAAAGTGAAATTTTACGCACGCTCCGCATGTGGCAAAATCTCACTTTCCACGCATTGTGATGAAAAATAGGGTTCGGCACTCTTGGAAAAAATGTTCTTTGTCCTTTGGGAGAGTAGCACTCGGCTTCGGCGAGCACCGCGCACCTCCCACGGATTAAAATGGTATATTTCATCACGCTGTGCGAAAAAGTGACTTTTTAAGCACGCCTTATCGAAAAACGTCCTTTTTCGACACATTGTCCTATTTTCCTATTTACTCAAGATGAAAGAAACGTGAAGTTGTTTTATATCGAAATATCTCGAAACTGCCTGACCGCTAATCCTCAATTTTGATTGGTCAATGAGTCATGTGAAGCAGTCGCTGAAAAAAATCCCCAGTATTTTCACATTCTTCAAATGGCAAAATTTTGTTCTGCGTCATATTTTTCATTTTTTCATGTGTGAAGTTTATCTTTATATCAAAAAACATATCTAAATTGCCTAATTTTTGATCATGAGAAAAAAACATAGTATTTCTAAATTTTTTTAACGCACAAATTATTCTTCACTTCCCAAATTTTAATTTTTTATCTAGTTTATCTGTTATCTGGAAAACTGTGAAATTTTCCGAAGAATTCAAGAAATTTTTTCAGTTTTCTAGGAAATCAATTCATAACCCTCCCCTGATTTTTCAACAATTACAGATTTTAATCAGATTATTTTAAAAAGTAAAAAAAAAACGAATTAATCGAAGATTAAAAATTATTCATTGATGCTTCACTCTTCATTCTCTTAATTCTCTTCAAGTCATTATCAATATTTATAAAACATCTATGAGTATATGAAGTTTAATAAATTCGATTTCTTCATTTTCACAACAAAAAGATGAGCGCGCGCACAGATCTAGTAACAAAAAATATCAAATGACAAAAAATATCATTCGACAGACGGCCTAAAAAAACTTCTAGCTCATATGATTACAACCCTCGTCTTCGGCTCGGGCTGCAAATTCATGTTCGTCAGAAAAGATTTTTTTCTGCCTAATGACGAAATACAGTAGACTCTCGTTATAGTCGCATTTCCCCTCATATCGATTTTTTCGAGCTCGAGCGCTTCCCCCACTCCNATGCGATGTTATTAATATTTCTATTCATTTCATTAATTTACTAAAAGTGTTCAACGCAATTCATTTTGTTAATTTAATAAAAGTGTTTAATGAAAATAATTTTTATATTTAATAAAAATGTTCAATGCAAATTGAAGAGAAAAATAATTGGAGTAAAATTTATTTTCTTATCGCTCCCGATTCCCGGAATTTAGGCTTACCGTGAGCGCCTGGTGGGGGAAGAGAAATACAGTCCCATTCTCAGAATCGGCTGCCCCTACAGCCCCGTGAGTGCGACTATAACGAGAGTCTACTGTATACTATTCTGAGACGTCCTTCAGGACTCCGGAGATAATATAGGAACCTTTGTTCAATATCTTTGCGTGTGTCAGAGTAGATGGCATTCTTTTAGGAATTACATGGGGCGCCCCGGAACAGCTGTCACATCTAGGGCGGCACGGAATCCATCATGATACGGCCAAGTGCCATTTCCACCTTTCCGTGAACGCCTCTGCAAGCTCCTGTATATACCAGGTATATATATCATAGATAACAGTGACATTCCATCTATTCATTTATCGTATATCTACCCCTCCGCCCACCTTCGTCGATGGGTGATAATCAATACCGTAATGCGAAGAGCATCCAAGAAAAAACAAGATTTATTTTGAGACTTATGCACGGACGAAAAAATTTAATAAAAAAACCTATCGAATTCGTTAGAAAATTCTACTGAATTTCTATTGAACTGTTCTATTGGTTTTTGGCCGATTGTACTGAAATGTTCAATAGAAAATATTCAGTAGAAAAAGCCAATAGAATTCAATTTTTCTATATCCCTTATTCTACTGAGATATTTTCTATAGAATTTCCGCGGCTCAAATTTTCCAAGTTTTTCCGTTTGATTTTCTTGATGAGAAGAAAAGAAAAATGGAATGAAAAACACTTGAAAAACAAAAACACACAAAAAAAAATCGAATTCTGTCAACTTTTTCTGTTTAGTTGTTTCGATTGAACGTGTCAATAGAATCAGCCAAAGACTAATAGAAAGTTCGAGAGAAATTCAATAGAATTTTCTAACGAATTCGATAGGTTTTTCTATTAAATTTTTTCGTGCGTGTCATCTTAGGTTGAGACTTAAAACTCTCAAGTCGGGACTTTCGGAGGTCTCAGAATTCAACTTGGAGAAATATTTTCAAGTTGAGTTCGGAAAGTCTTAAGTTGAGGCATTCAGGAGTCTTAAGGTGTTGGAAGCGGATAACAACACTCTGAAATTCCAAATACAAACAGATTTTACCTATATTCTTACAAAACACAAGATAACTTAAAGGTTTTGTTGACGGAAGTTCAATTTGACAAAAGTTCAATTTTAATTATTATTATTATTATTATTATTATTATTATTATTATTATCATTAATTATTTTGGTTAAAACCAAAAGCTCACTTTCCCAAGTTGAATTTAACCCGGTTTTTTAACTAAGTTTTTTAGACGTGCTCCGTAAATTTCGTTAACAAATTAAAGAAAGACATTCAAAACTCTCAACTTGAGAATTGCAGGCTTAAAACTTCGCGTTTGTTATGCAAAAAGGTCCTATAAACACTTTTTCAGAGAACAGTAAATTTCCACGTTTCAGATGATTCTGAGTCATCTGAGCCTAACTTTTGGAGATCATTTTTTTGAACTTTTTAAAGGGAATTGGACAAATTTTGGAAAAATGGTGCAAACAGGTCATATGAACCTTTTTTCAGAGAATAGTAAATCTCCACGTTTCAGATGATTCTGAGTCATCTAAGCCTAACTTTTGGAGATAATTTTTTTGAACTTTTTAAAGGGAATTGGGCAAATTTTTGAAAAATGGTGCAAACAGGTCATATGAACTTTTTTTCAGAGAATAGTAAATCTCCACGTTTCAGATGATTCTGAATCATCTGAGCCTAACTTTTGGAGACAATTTTTTTGAACTTTTTAAAGAGAATTAGGAAAATTTTTGAAAAATTGCACAAACAGGTAATATAAACACTTTCTCAGAGAATAGTAAATCTCCACGGTTAAGATGATTCTAAGTCATCTGAGCCGACATACAAGAGTGTTTATACGACCTTTTTGCACAACGCACGCGACTTAAAAATCTTATCCACCCACACTGATAGAATGATTCATTTATTCCAAACGAGATTCATTAACTATTAACGAATGGTAGAGTTGAATATGACCAAATAAATATTCGTCAACTATTAACGAATGAACATTTGGTGGGACCGAATAGATCCCAACCTTCAACCAAAATCCATTCGTTAACAATAACTAATTCTGTCTATCAGTGCACAGACGCCCTGATTGATCATCATCCCTAGAACAAGGAAGTCCAAAATATCGCGATGGTAAAATTCCTCTCCGCAACGCCAGCGGAATACAAAGCAAGCAGTTCCAGTTTCAAAATTATCTACGGTCTCCACGACACTCAATTTGGGGAGTGCCTCATCGCCCTAAAATCACCTGAGAACGCAGTCTGTTATTTCCATTTCGTCAACAAAGTCATCGGGAAAGGCCTGGAGGATCTGAGGAGCCAGTGGCCAGACTCCGAACTAACTCAAGGTCAAGAGAACACAAGAGACCTCGTGAAGAAGATCGTCGCGTATGACCACGAGGATATCACAGTATTTCTCATGGGCACAGAGTTCCAAATCAAGGTCTGGAAAGCACTGACAACAATACCCAGAGGTGAAACTGTTAATTACGATTACATAGCGGAGAAAGTAAACAGCCCAAAGGCAATTCAAGCGATCTCGAAGATCATCGGTGGTAATCGTATTGCTATTTTGATTCCGTGTCATAGGACAGTCTCAAAATCTGCCAAGCTTCCGAAATCCTGCTGGCGAACTGAAAAGAGACCTCTCTTGCTGAAGTACGAAAAGAGTTTGGAAGATAATAAGGAAGATTTGTAATAGAGGAAGTCATAATTTAAAGTCATCCATCAGTCCGAGCGAGTTCAAAGTTACAGTTAATTTCATAACCGTTTATAGAATCTGTTCCTCTCAATCCCTCTCATGATAACCTCGTGTTTGATCAGACTCAGACGGAACTAGTAGCTGTGACTATTTTCGTAGAAAAGGAGATACGTCTTCGGAACAATACTGACACAATAGCTATTGATGAAACAGTGAATTACGATTACATAGCAGCAAAAGTAAAAAGTCCAAAGGCGATTCAAGCGATATCGAAGATCGTCGGTGGTAATCGTGTTGTTCTTTTGATTTCATATGACATAAGTCTCAAAACCTAAGAAGCTTCCGAAATCCTGCTGGCGAACTGAGAAGAGATCTCTCTTGCTGAAGTACGAAAAGAGTTTGGAAGATAATAAGGAAGATTTGTAATAGAGGAAGTCATAATTTAAAGTCATCCATCAGTCCGAGCGAGTTCAAAGTTACAGTTAATTTCATAACCGTTTATAGAATCTGTTCCTCTCAATCCCTCTCATGATAACCTCGTGTTTGATCAGACTCAGACGGAACTAGTAGCTGTGACTATTTTCGTAGAAAAGGAGATACGTCTTCGGAACAATACTGACACAATAGCTATTGATGAAACAGTGAATTACGATTACATAGCAGCAAAAGTAAAAAGTCCAAAGGCGATTCAAGCGATATCGAAGATCGTCGGTGGTAATCGTGTTGTTCTTTTGATTTCATATGACATAAGTCTCAAAACCTAAGAAGCTTCCGAAATCCTGCTGGCGTACTGAGAAGAGATCTCTCTTGCTGAAGTACGAAAAGAGTTTGGAAGATAATAAGGAAGATTTGTAATAGAGGAAGTCATAATTTAAAGTCATCCATCAGTCCGAGCGAGTTCAAAGTTACAGTTAATTTCATAACCGTTTATAGAATCTGTTCCTCTCAATCCCTCTCATGATAACCTCGTGTTTGATCAGACTCAGACGGAACTAGTAGCTGTGACTATTTTCGTAGAAAAGGAGATACGTCTTCGGAACAATACTGACACAATAGCTACTGATGAAACAGTGAATTACGATTACATAGCAGCAAAAGTAAAAAGTCCAAAGGCGATTCAAGCGATATCGAGGATCGTTGGTGGTAATCGTGTTGTTCTTTTGATTTCGTATGACATAAGTCTCAAAACCTAAGAAGCTTCCGAAATCCTGCTGGCGTACTGAGAAGAGATCTCTCTTGCTGAAGTACGAAAAGAGTTTGGAAGATAATAAGGAAGATTTGTAATAGAGGAAGTCATAATTTAAAGTCATCCATCAGTCCGAGCGAGTTCAAAGTTACAGTTAATTTCATAACCGTTTATAGAATCTGTTCCTCTCAATCCCTCTCATGATAACCTCGTGTTTGATCAGACTCAGACGGAACTAGTAGCTGTGACTATTTTCGTAGAAAAGGAGGTACGCCTTCGGAACAATACTGACACAATAGCTACTGATGAAACAGTGAATTACGATTACATAGCAGCAAAAGTAAAAAGTCCAAAGGCGATTCAAGCGATATCGAAGATCGTCGGTGGTAATCGTGTTGTTCTTTTGATTTCATATGACATAAGTCTCAAAACCTAAGAAGCTTCCGAAATCCTGCTGGCGTACTGAGAAGAGATCTCTCTTGCTGAAGTACGAAAAGAGTTTGGAAGATAATAAGGAAGATTTGTAATAGAGGAAGTCATAATTTAAAGTCATCCATCAGTCCGAGCGAGTTCAAAGTTACAGTTAATTTCATAACCGTTTATAGAATCTGTTCCTCTCAATCCCTCTCATGATAACCTCGTGTTTGATCAGACTCAGACGGAACTAGTAGCTGTGACTATTTTCGTAGAAAAGGAGATACGTCTTCGGAACAATACTGACACAATAGCTATTGATGAAACAGTGAATTACGATTACATAGCAGCAAAAGTAAAAAGTCCAAAGGCGATTCAAGCGATATCGAAGATCGTCGGTGGTAATCGTGTTGTTCTTTTGATTTCATATGACATAAGTCTCAAAACCTAAGAAGCTTCCGAAATCCTGCTGGCGTACTGAGAAGAGATCTCTCTTGCTGAAGTACGAAAAGAGTTTGGAAGATAATAAGGAAGATTTGTAATAGAGGAAGTCATAATTTAAAGTCATCCATCAGTCCGAGCGAGTTCAAAGTTACAGTTAATTTCATAACCGTTTATAGAATCTGTTCCTCTCAATCCCTCTCATGATAACCTCGTGTTTGATCAAACTCAGACGGAACTAGTAGCAGTGACTATTTTCGTAGAAAAGGAGATACGTCTTCGGAACAATACTGACACAATAGCTATTGATGAAACAGTGAATTACGATTACATAGCAGCAAAAGTAAAAAGTCCAAAGGCGATTCAAGCGATATCGAAGATCGTCGGTGGTAATCGTGTTGTTCTTTTGCTGAAGTACGAAAAGAGTTTGACAGATAATAACGAAGAATTGCAATAGATAAAGTCCTCATTGACCCAGTAAATTCCCTAATCATTCACAGAATCTATTCCTCTCAATTTGGTTCCTGGATGATTCCCTCGTATGACATTAGTATGATGCAGACAGATTGAAGTATTACGTTTGCAGGAAGTAGCGAACACATCTCCGTGAAAATACTTGCAACAATTGAAGTCATAATTGAAGTCATCTCCATCATTCCAAAAAAAGTCCAACCCTGCAGTTAATGTCATAATCATTCATCGAAGATATTCCTCTCATTTGGGTCACTGAAGCAGAACCAGAACAAAGTATCACCCATTTACAATTCCTGGGTGACAACCCGGGTGTGATAACGTACGAGACGCTTTTACCAGACACAACGAAGATTGATGACAGGAGAAACCATGATTGAAGTCACTTCCATCAGTCCTAACGAGTACAAATCCTCAGTTGGCTTCGCAATCACCTATGGAATCCATCCCTCTCAATTTGGGGAGTTCCTCATTGGCGTCACTGGAGCTCAGTCACAACAAGCCATCTGTCACCTTTGGTTCCTGGACGACAACCTCGATGAAGCCCTGAAGATCATGCAGAGGGAGTGGCCTGGTGCTCGTCTCGTGTTGGATCAAAGTCAGACGAAACAACTAGCTGAGACAATTTTCGCGAAGGATCAGGGGAAGCTTCGGGTACTGCTCAAGGGCACAGAGTTCCAGGTGAGCGTCTGGAAGGCACTCCTGGAGGTTCCTAGAGGGTCAACTGTGGTTTACAGCGAGGTGGCTGGGATTATTGGGAGGCCGAAGGCCATTAGAGCGACAGCCGCTGCTGTCGCTGGTAATCGCATCGCTTATGTCATCCCCTGTCATCGTGTTGTTTCGAAGGATGGCAGCAGTAAATATCGATGGCTGGCTAGGAGGAAAATGGAGATACTCGATGATGAAAGGAGTGATGGGGGCCGATGACTATTTTTGTATTTGCTGAAGTTGATGGAGTGGAATAAAGAGAATTGTGAATGTGAACAGCATTTTTTGTTCGGCTGAATGCATGGCTCTTTTCAAAGTTGAATATTTCAGAAAATATGGAACTTTTCTATCCTATTTACTGAAGATGAAAGAAACGCGAAGTTGTTTTATATCGAAATATCTCGAATCTGCCTGACCGCTAATCCTCAATTCTGATTGGTCAATGAGTCGCGTGAAGCCGTCGCTGAAAAAAATTCCCCGTATTTTCAAATTCTGCAAATGTCTAAACATTTTTTGCATCATATTTTTCATTTTTTCATGGGTGAAGTTTATCCTCATATCAAAACATCTAAATTCCCTAATTGTTGATCATGAAAAAAAAAACAGTATTTCTAAATTTTTTCAACTCACAAATTATTCTTCACTTCCCAAATTTTAATTTTTTCATATTTATCACACGCCAAAATGATAAATTCTTGCTTCTCACATTTTCATACATAAATTCTAAACTCTACAAAATTGACGAAAATTCTTCGGTTTCCCAAATAATTCGAAAAAAATCTGTGATCTACGGTTATCTGGAAAACTGTGAAATTTTCCGAAGAATTCAGGAAATTTTTTCAGTTCTCTAGGAAATCAATTCATAACCCTCCCCTGATTTTTCAACAATTACAGATTTTAATCAGATTATTTTAAAAAGTAAAAAAAAAAGAATTAGGTAATCGAAGATTAACAATTATTCATTGATGCTTCACTCTTCATTCTTTTCATTCTCTTAATTCTCTTTAAGTCATTATCAATATTTATAAAACATCTGTGAGTATATGAAGTTTAATAAATTTGATTTCTTCATTTTCACAACAAAAAGATAAGATCACACAGATCGCACAGATCTAGTAGGAATAAATTGACAATGTTTCTGTCATTTTGATAGAATGTGATGATCACATGACATTTAACATAAAGGTCACATTTAAATCATTTTGAAAGTCCCCAGAGTCTGTCAAGAGTGAAATACGATTGCAGTTATTATTTTAGTTAATAAGGGAAGTTATAGACACCAATGAGCAGTGATTTATTGAAGAATAAGGGAGAAAAATCCCATCCACATCAACTGGTGCTACGACAGAGTGAATTCTTAAGCCGCAAGTTAAGAAACTCACAATTTTAAAATGCTGATATCTCCGTTATAATAGTAAAAAGGGAGTAAAAATCCCTTGATTGAGGTTTCGGATGGTTAAAAAAACTATAAAAATGCATAAATTATAGTAATATCTTAATATTTCACAGAAATGTCGGCTATTAAAAGAATAGGTACAATGGAAATGGTATTGATCCTATTCTCGTTTTACAACCAATTGTCAACTGGTAACGGACTAAACGGATGCAAAAATCATTTAAAAGGTTGGACTGTCCAATTGAAATATAATTTTGTGCCTCGAGATATTTTTTAAATGTTGTTTTATCCCAAATAGAATACTCACGATGTAATTAATTCGGATATAATTTTTCCATATCATTCAAATCAAATGAGCGAGACTAGGGACATGGGACTTTCCCCGTTTATGGACGATTATTTATCAAAAAATAGTAATTATCATGATTAATTTAACTTTAACTTCTTGAAATCGATTTCAAATCCTTTAATGGAGTTTAACATTCCCTTAACCGTCCAGCATTGGCCTGTTTACCCTAAACTTTAAACGAAATTTAATATGAATAGAAACATTCTGGTTGAGTTGCGCGTAATTGACAATCTAGTATTATTTGATAATAATAAATCTCGTGCTAGAGATTTGTGCAAAGTAACACAGACTCTTCGGTATGACATATGGACTTCTGAATTTAATTTTTTCATTTGTCCTTCAGAATGAAAAGGGCGATCTGATTTTTGAATCATTAAGCAAGGCCCGATGACTTCTTCAGTAGGAATTATTGAATAATTCAAAGTAATGGCGGATGAGAGAATTCGGGTTTTTATATATTTTTTTTTCTGCTCGTTACTTACGATTGTGGACGCGTTGATGTAATCGGAACTGTTGAGATTCGAGAGGTCGTTGAGAACAATCCTGGAGTGATCGTAGGGGAACGCCGAACCAGGACGGTTCTTATCGATATTCTCATTGTCAGTGGCGATCGCGATGGATGATGGGTCCGTCTCGTAGGCGCAGATTGCTGCCCACTCTTGGTCCAGCCGGTCTTTGTTCTTCAAGTGGTCCTCCATGTACATCTAGCAATCATTATTATTTTTAATTTGACTTTTGGTTTTCGAACTTCTGAGGGAATTCTAGAAAATCATGTGATCATCTTCTAAAATCAGATGATTCCGCTGTTTTGGAGATATGAAAAAAAGATTTTCGTGGGGCAAAATGGAACGTTAGCTAGAGTTCTCCAGCGTAAATATTTCTAGCTACTATCAAACGTAATAATTTTTAAATTCCGATTTGCGTTTTATTTTGGATTTCGAAAAAAAATTTTTTCATTGAAAAAATAAATTTATAAAAAAAAATTCCTTGCAAACTCCGAAAACCAAAAGTCATGAAAACAAAATCGGAACAAAGTGTATTTTTAATCACAAAAACCGAATAATTTTCGTGTTTTTTTAAATATAAAAAAAATTAAATTCATTTTAAAAAACATTTTTCATTAATTTTGGTTTTCTTTCATAACTCGGAAAAAATAAATTTAAAAAAAAAAATTCCTTGCAAACTCCGAAAACCAAAAGTCATGAAAAAAAAATTGGAACAAAGTGTATTTTCAATCACAAAAACCAAATAATTTTCGTGTTTTTTAAAATATAAAAAAAATTAAATTCATTTTAAAAAACATTTTTCATTAATTTTAGTTTTCTTTCATAACTCGGAAAAAATAAATTTCTAAAAAAAAATTCCTTGAAAACTCCGAAAACTAAAAGTCATGAAAAAAAATCAGAACAAAGTGTATTTTCGATCACAAAACCGAAATGGTTTTTCTGGTTTTTCAAAATATAAAAAAAAATCAATTTAAAAAATAATTTTTCATTAATTTTGTTTTTTTTTCATAACTCGGAAATAAGTGGGGCAAAATAGTTCCCCAGCTGAAGATTTCCAGCGATTTATAAATTTCGATTTCCAAATATGGTTTTGCGGAACTTCGAAAGAATTCTAAAAAAAATTATATTCTAAATTACCAAAACCATATGTCCAGTAGCAATATCCATATTGGTGAGTGCTGCAGGATCATCTCCGCCCCAGGAACTCGTGCTCGATCGATTTGACTCGCTCTCCTTGGACAGGCTAATAATCCTGGGTGACTCTGGTTTTTCCGACGGCGCCGTTGGCACTTTCGCCTGCATCCGTGCCCTGCACAACTCCTGATAGTCCTTGGAGGCCTCCGGATCGGGTGTCGCCAAACCCGCCAGTTTTCGCCTGGTCTTGGATTGACGGCGCACTATTATGATAAGGACTATTGACGCTGCCGCGACTGCTCCCATTACCACACACGCTATTATCTCGATGACATTCTGGGAATTTGACTCCACGGTGTGCACTTGAGGGAATTTCACCAGTGTTATTTGAGTCTGGGGAATGTACAAACGAATCGAATTGAATATGTTGATATTTCAGGTCCCGAAGCGTGCGTATTTTATGAGGGAGAACCTTTTTTCATCTCGAGTGGGGCAAAATGAAACAGCCGAAAAACGTCTACTTGGCGGAATTCAAGCAAAAAAAAAATTTTTTATCAACTTTTGGTTATCAACTTTTTTTATTATTGGGAGTACTGATGAGAATAATAATTTTCTATTCGGTAGAAAAGAACGTGCGGTGTGTGACGTGATGAGGTTTTCTACCTCCCTTAATTGAGTCGCCAGTCGACTCAAAAACTATTGCTCAACTAGCTACGGTCAGAGCTCACGCGGATTTCTCTCAAGATCTAACGTGACGCGACTAGGATAGGATTTGATTAGGTATTCTTCGTATAAAACAATCGAGCACCACTGTTACATTAATAATTGACAGTATATTGAATAGATAGGTAAAGTATAAAATCAACTGTTAAATGGGTTCGGTTTCGACGCGGATCTACTATAGATTTTTGGCTAGGAGAGGACGTCCGTCCATCTTCAACTCCTGCCGTACTCTGCCCTATTCCAGAGCTTCAAAGTCGTTGCTGGCCGAAAATGCTAAATAAGTGTTCTCACGGTTTTTCTAACTAACACGGCCATATGTCCATCACTGACAATGGCTAAGACAATCAAACAGCTCCATTCTGAGAAGCTGGACTCAGGTGTCACCGTGAGACTGCTTATTGAGCATTTGGGACTTTTTCTATCTAGAAAATATTAATTGAATAAAATCGACGTGTGAATATCTCCACACGTCACAGGTGCGAAAAAATCACTGATATTCGAAAGCCCTATATAGCGTACCGACTACTTCCACAGATGAATCCCACTCCCCTGTTAGATCTCGATTTCAACGTCCACTAGTCAGCTGTCCCCTGACTCTCCAGAAGCCAAACTAAGACCTCGTCATCGCTGAATCTACGTTCTCTCCTCATTCGAAACTCCCGAAGGTTTTTCATATATTTCTTATATCGAGACGACAATATTAATAATTTTCCCTAATTTTATCCACAATTCTCTTCTCAAGTAATATTAAATATTTCATCTATAATTCAATTTGTTAGATTAGGGCGATTACACTTTTANATGATATCCTCGTAACATCAACCTCATAAATATCTGAAACGGGTCAAATAGGAAGGAAAGCGATGATCGGTGCTTATAGGTCAAATAACTTCCGTAATTAGTGCGAGAGATGATTACTTTGTTATATTACGGAATTTGTGAGGGAATTGTCTGACGCAATCGGGATATTTTCCACTCGGNACTCCCGAAGGTTTTTCATATATTTCTTATATCGAGACGACAATATTAATAATTTTCCCTAATTTTATCCACAATTCTCTTCTCAAGTAATATTAAATATTTCATCTATAATTCAATTTGTTAGATTAGGGCGATTACACTTTTATTTTTTCATTCGATTGAAATTCAGCATCACATTTTCCTTTTTCCCCCTCTGGTTCTCCCCCTGGGCCTTCCTCTGGACCTTGGATTTTGCTGTTTCATTTTCTTTTCAATTAATCCATTGACAAAGTCTTCTCCCGTCAAAACTTCTCAATAATCTTCCATTCTACTGAATGGAGAATTATTATTCTCATCAGTACTCTCAATATAATAAAGAAAAAATTGATAAACAAAGGTTGATAAAAGTTTTTGTTTAATTGAATTGCATTGAATTGTATTGCGTCAAACAGTCAGTGTTTAATCAAGGTTTAATCAGTGGACAGCCGGGATTTAATCAGGATTTAGCTAGTTTAATCCAAGTTCTGTCAGAAGTTTGTCAATAAGCATTCACTGTAATAGACTGGTACCTGACAATGAGTGTAAGAGAGATAGAGATTTTGATATCGCGTGTTAAATGGAAAAAGTTCGTACTGACCATTTTGGGATTTTTAGGTCAACGAAGTGGAAAAAGGTCGTAAAAACTTAATATGGGGAACATGAAATCTGTACGATTTGGGCTCCAATACTGGTAAAATGAAAAAAAAATCTTTTCACTGGTTTCTATCCATTTTTATGATATTCGGTCGCACTTTTAAAGAAATAAAGATTATTCTAGAGAAATTTCTATTGGAAAACCATATGTGGAAATGGGTCGTATGCACCAAAAAAAATTGTCCTCAAAAGTTGGGTTAAAATGATTCCAGAGAGCCCAAATCGTCCGGATTTAATGTTCCCTGGATTAGGTTTATACAACATTTTTCCATTTCGTTGACCTAAAAATCCCAAAATAGTCAGTACGCCTTTTTTTTCATTTAGCACGCAAAAACTCAAAAAATTATATTATATTAAAATACAAATTTTCTTGGGTCTCTTTGACATTTATAAAGGACAACTTTTCCATTTCAACATACAGAATTAATTATTTCAATTTTCCCAGATTTCCCCATTTTGTATTTTTCAGACAAAAACCACAAGGAACAAAAATCGAAGCTGAATAAAAGGAGAAAATCTAAAAAAAAAATTCTCAATATTTTTTCCCAATTTTTGTCAATTCATAAGGTCTAAAGGACGTGAATGTTTGCATAAACTTCATTAGTCGTCAAACCTCTGAAATTATCTCATTTGTAATTTTTTCAACGTCAAATCGATGAATCATCACATAAAATAGTAAATAGAAAAAAATAAAGAAATCATGTTACCTTATCCCCAATCCCCGCTTCCGTCATTCTCATATTAGCTATCTTCTCCAGATCCTCACGAATATTCGCTGGAAATGTCACCACAATTACGCAACAATTACATAATTGTTCGAAGCAGTAAACGCACGATTGTACTGAACTTACATAATGACCCAACGATTTGAGTAGCGTTCATTTTCAGTTTATTTGCCATAACCGTGAAGATGACTTCAGCCCTGCCCACGCGTGTTTCTGTCAGGTCATTCATTTCCAGTCCAAGAAGCTTTGCAACCTGTTTAAACACCATTATTGCTAAATAATAATAATAATCCTGCATTAGTTGGGAAGTAGAGTTGAGGAGAATTCGTGCGTCTGACACAATCGCGACCGTTTCCACTTCAGTTTTGATGGAATTAGTGGGAAGTTTGTGACTTGCGTTATGAGAGGCCAGTGAAATGTCAAAGTGCGATGCAATTTCCGTAATGAGTGCGAGAGATCATTATTCGTTGCATTACGGAATTTGTGGGGGATAATATAATGGTCTGTCGCGATAGGGACATTTTCCACTGAAACGATTTGCCAGAAATTTGTGACTACTGGTGATATAAAATGATGATGATTTAATTTGATGTCCGGGGGGGGTCAATAATTCCTATTCCGTTTGATCTTTATATAACCCTCATGAAGGTAAGATTATGAGGGTCAATAATTTCTCTTCCGTTTGACCCTTATACGACCCTCATGACCCTTACACGACCCTCGGACTACAATTTAAC